GGGGGGGGGGGGTTGGGCAGATATGAAAGGGACGACGACGAGCCCCAGAGGTTAGAGGAGCACAAACCCACCAATCAAAGACTGCCCATGTGACACAATGCCGTTGTACGGCACATTCGTTACGCTGTACGAATGAAATAACACGAAAAGACGGAGACCCTTTACCCACGGCGCGGTGTGTCGTACTACATTGAGTCCGGCCCGAGAGGACGTTAACCAACCGACAAATCATAAAACCCGACCCAGCCGTTCAGTGCAGCAACGCGTGCCGGAAGCAGGTATTCCTTTCCTCCTGTGCCGTACACTTTGGCAGGACATAATCGTACACCCGTACGGCAATCGCAGTTTATATTACGTACCAGCAAGTTGACAGCGCTCTTTTGCAAGAAGACCTTCCCGATCAATTTGGCGATATCGTGGCCAGATATGTCCACCTCGCCGTGCTCGGCCAGAGCCTGTACGACCGGAAGTACGACAAAGAAGCCCGTACGACAGGCCTGAATGCCGTATAAAGTCAAGAATGACGAAGAGCCTTGGTTACTATAGCCTTGCATAGCCGTGTGAGAAGATTACCTACTTCAAAAGAGATAAACACATGCCGGCCCCCCAACCCACCCTCATCACCCTGCGCGATGGCTAAATCTCCCCCTCGCCTCTACACATACACGCTACAGGCGGGTGGGACCCCGTACGACATCAACACTAACTGTGCCGCACGTGTGGCAGGTTCTTGGTCTCCAGTACGACATGCGTCACGCGTTTCTCGTACACCGATAGCTTGGTGGACTGTGCCAGAGCGTAACTGATAGCCAGTTTCATCTGGGGGGCCGGGGGGTTGGGGGTAGCGTGGAGGTTTTGGGGGTGCGTGTGTGTATGGTTGTGTGTATGTGTGTCCAGGGGGGGACAGAACAAAAACCACCCGACAGCCTGGGAGAAGTTTACCCCTCATTTCCCCCCCCCACAACACATACAAATACAAACACACACGCACCCAGACAGACAGACAGACAGACAGACTCACAAACAGACTCACAAACATATAAACACACACCTTGTAGTCTTGCGCGTATCTCCGGTGCAACGTGACGGTGTCGTTCTGTACGTGTTGCTGTTTCTCGTGACTGAAGCAGTACTGAAACTCATCCTGGGGGAGGGGGACGGTGTCCGTGTGTATGTATGTACATACGTACATATGTATATGTGTTTGTGGGTTTTGGGTGTCCGTGTGCTCCGGTTCTTGGTGGGGGGAGAGGGGCCGGTGCACCCTCACTCATTCCTTCCCCCCCTCCCCATTTTCTTTTTTCCTTCGCCACCCCCTCTAAGCCAAATTCCCCCCCTTTTTCCCCAGCAGAAAAACCCACCACCTCCGTCCACTGCTCCTCCAAGGGGTCCTTCATACACTGCGTGGCTATTCCCCGTACGATAGTCATTTCCTGGGCCTTAGTCATACCTGTACGGCAGACACACATACACATACACACACGAACACATGTACGCACGTAAATAGCCAAATTACAAAAAGCCAGAGGGAGGGGAGAGGGGAGAAAGACGAACCACACACGAGGGGAGAGGGGAGAGGGGAGAGGGGAGGGGGCTTTCTGGTCCGGAAGAGTTCCGGCCTGCTCATGTTCATACCCATGCCCCCGTGTCTCAAACCCAACCGTTCCCCCCCTTCCGTATTCTCCCGCAACCCCCCTCCTTGCCATTCCCCTTCCCCCCCCCTCCCCCCTCGCAAGGCCCTCATGACCCGGTCCCGGGGGAAGATCTGTCCGTCTCCCTCCTCCCTTGCGCTCCACCCTCCCTTTTCCCCCTCTCCCCTAAAAATCCCTAAAAACCCTCTCCCCACTACACCCCGCCCCAGGTGCTCTCATTCAAAACAAAAACACATTGTTCCCTCCCTAACACGGCAAAACAAACGGGCTCTTTGTGACATGCATGTCACCCAATCGGCACGTCCTACTCGCGGCTCAGTACTGCACAAAACACACACACACACACATACACCCCTCTTAGCCCCTGACCTCCCAGATTTCCCCTCCCCGCCACCACCACCCCACTCACCCCAGCACGCCACCACTCCGTAGTCAAAGAAAAACACATCACCCCCCGGCTGCGTGTCAGCACCCTTGATGTACTCCACGTAAAACACGTCCGGGAAGGAGCGAACCTGCCGGGGGGAGGGCCCCGGGTGGCGGGCGGGAGGGGGGGATTTTGAGGGAGATGGTTGCAGTTGGTTGTTTTGGTTGGTTTTGTCGTTGGTGATGGGACGGGAGTGGAGACTTTCGCGAGGGGTTGGTAAAATGACAGTCCACAGTCCCGGCGTACAAAGCGACACAACGAAACGTTGTGGTTAAGGAAATTTTGGAAATCGTGGAACTGCCCCCCCCGGGAACCCCCCCTCTGAATTCAAATTCAAATGTACACCCCCCAAGTAATGGGAGTGGCTAAGAGCATCCAAGGGAAAACTCTAAAACCGTACTAAAACCCTACTACCACCCTACTAAAACCTCATTTGTAAAATCTTACGAAACCCAAAAAACCCAAAACCCCGACAACCCCTGCTTTCCCCCGGGGGTTCCCCCCATACGGCCCCGTTGGATTGCCCCTCTCCCCACCCCCACCCCCCAGCGGTGGTTTGGTGGTTTGGACGAGCCGGCGCAGTCGACCCGTCGCCCTGATCCGATTTTCCCGCCTTTCCGTTGCCCCTTCCCCTCTATTTCCCGGGCTTGGTAAATCATTCTTCTCCCTCCCGCCCTCCCCCTCCTTCCATCTCCCAATTCAAAATCTATCCCCTGACCCTAAACCCTGCGCCCCCCGAACACCCACACTCACACTCACCTCGCAATGACGCCAGTCTAAATTTTGAGAAATTTCGGATCCTATGGCGGCAAACCCATGCGTGCGTGCGTGGCCCCTCCCTTAAACCCGTAGCCGGGCGACGGCAGTAGCATACTGCGCTTCTGTAAGCCATCCCCTCCCATCCCCCACTGGTCCCCGCCTGGTCCCCCCATCCCGGCTCGGGACGCCATCCCGCACCCCTACCGTGCTTGGAGGGTACGTCAGTTTCAGCAGCTCCTCCAGCTTCTTGCGGTCAAAGCTGTCCGCGACACAATAAAACCTTTTTTGGGGGGAAGGGGGATGAGATAATCGAGAGGGGGGAGAGATGAATGGGGGGGAAGGTGATGGGGGAGAATTACATACACATACACATACATACATACATACATACATACATACATACATACATACATACATACATACATACATACATACATATATACATACATTAATATGCGAGGTTAAGGCTGGCAGAGGTTAAGGCCTGACTTCTGCTCCCGTCCGACCCGGGTTCAAATCCGCCTGCCGGCTCCTCGGGTGTTTGAGAAGTGTTGAAATGGGAGGTGGCCCCCCATCATATGGACGATGTAGGACGTGATAAAATCAACTTGCGAGCTAACCAGGAACTAAGTTGATGCGCCGTTGATCCGCTAGATTTGTTTGGATGCTGGTGGTGAATTGCCGAACCCAACGAATACATTCTGAAGTCGGATGGGGTGACGGATTAGGGTGCCTTGGTTCGTTGTTGGCTGTCTCAGGGGGCCTCCCCTGTCCGGGCAGCCCTAGCCGCTTTTCCCCTTGTATTCCCGGTGGTGGTGGTGGTGGTGGTCGGGGAGTGCAAGAAACCCTAGGCAGGCTGCGTGGCCGTGTCAACATCTCATCTCATCTCGTCCCCCCCTTGATCACCTTGATCCAGTAACTTGTTGTGTATGATGAGTCACCTTCCCGCCTTCTCCCTCACACGCCCCGGCCTCCTCCTTTCCCTCCCGTCCTAGTCGCTTAGTCGCCACCTAGTCATTTGGTTGTTCTTGCTTTGGACTCGGCAGCTGCTTTTCTGTTTCGAAATCTAACTGTCTACGTTGCCGCGATGACTACAAACAACTCACTACGGGCCAGTATCTTACAGTTTTTCGTACATTTTCTCTTGGTCTAAACTTGGAATTTCCATCTATGGTATTTTCTTTTCCTCAATCGTGCCGTGCTTCATCGTATCCCCCTCCTCCTCCCACACCCCTCCCTCCCTCCCCCACCCCCCCCC